CAGTGGGTGGTATTGTTTGAGATTGAGCACTCATGAGCTGTGTTGCAAAACGTGCACACACTTTCCACTCTCACCCAGCCTGTGAGCCTGTGTCCAGCTCTCCATGTGCTAATTCACAGGTTTGCACACAAACGATCTGTTTATACCAAGCTCCACAACAAAAGTAACTCTCAAGAACAATAAGAGCTAAATTTAAAGAGCGAACTCTCTGTTTCAGCAGTCCACACACCCTAGTACAGGTTGTTTATACACAATGACATAACCTTAGACATATTTCATCTTGTTTACAGTGCAGACTTTCAGTGGTTTAATGTGGTTTAATGTGTTTTGTTCAGTGTGATAGACAACACATTGCAGGGGCCACCACCTCCCAAATGTATATAATACTAATGTACTCAGTGCTGTATTCTGGTACATAATCTGTGGTTATTGTGTTCCAATTACGGTTTTATCAGCTGTTTTGTTCTAGTAATGGTATTTGTTTTATTTGTTTTATTTGTTTTGAGATATCCGCTGATTTGATCGAGACTGCACTGAGAAGCCGATAACCTTTGTTCTGATATCTCCTTAGATTGTAAATTTCATCTTTTCAGTTGCGAGTAATATTAAAATTGTAGTTTATAGCATGCTCGGGTGCTTTTGTTTTGCCATCACAATTGCTTGAGGCTGGTCACGGACACTTAAAAGCCATGATAGGACGTCTAGACGGCACTCAGCATTACTTTTGTTGCCAACAAATCTGCGAAATTTTGCTGGTTGCTATGACACTATTCATTTGGAGAGGAATGTACGGTCGCTTGTCAAAAAGGTAATTTAAGTTAAGTTTGCTAAAAGTTGTCATTCATACTCTCAGTTTTCAGCCACAGTTTCTGTACAAAAGCCCACATAAAGTTTTTCTCAAATTGTAACATAATTCTGTTATAGTTATTAGTTTTCACCAATACTCGGTAACATTTTTATAACCAAGATGTAAACACCCATAAATGTAAAGGTCTCTTTGATTGATTCCTTTCTCTTCTTCCTGACGAGATTGTTGAAACTTTGAGTTAGATATCCGTTATCCCCCACGTACTACTTGAGTCATATAGCCGTGTTAATAGCAAAGCAGGTTAAAGGCGTGTCCAATAGATACTGTAGAAATTAGTTCGCTTCCTGACAAAATGACAACGTGAACCTGGACAACAGTACAGATTCCGTTTGGAACACATATAAGGCATAATAACACATTCTGGGACTCAATCTGGCTACAGAAAACTGTGATTATGGTATCTCATAAAAATTGAGGTGCTTTGAAGATCTCTAAGTTCCAGGACATGACACTCTCCTGCTTCGAAGGTGTGTTGTTACGTTCTGCGTGTTCACTGACCTATAGGTTACGCAATGTCAACCTCTTAGTAATAGTGTAAGTAGAACGGTCATGACTCTGATCAGTTACTCTGTATTTACTGTCACTGTATAGATCTGAACCGTACAACATAGCAGCCATTTGCACGACTACGTATTATTTCCATGATGCTTTACAGCTCGTGGCGACGATCATTCAAGTCCAATTATAATTTTCAGGAAAGAATTAATTGCGCAATTGCTGTGAAATTGATCTGGTTAAACATCTGGCACGATATCCAGGGATCTAGAAGCCCCATGTGTAACTGAACACTTAGCTATTCGACCCACCTGCTGTTGTAAAACTGATCCTGTCACGTGATCATTACATTCCTTTGTTGTGCTGGTACAGTTGTTAGCGTATCTAGTTATCTTAAATCATCTTATAGTTTCACTTCAACTTTAACAAAGACTTTTAATCATTAAATCACTCTCGTTTGTTGTACCTCCTAGAGTTTTTAGGTAGCTTTTTGGGTTATTTATCTTGGTACTCTGGTATGAGGGCAGTAGCTGTGCGGAGTAGCATATACGTCTGGCAGTCCCGGATCTAGGCAGCAAGTTTGCTCAACCATGTCCAGGAGGGTGTGTCAGGCCAGGCCCAGCCCAACCCAATCCTCTCGCTTGCCTTTAACTTTTAGGAAGTCTTCAGATATTTGATTGGCTCTCACGAGTTCGGGAAATACGAAAAAAATAAAATAATGAGGTGTGTTCTGAGTTCTCGACCCCCTAGATACCTATTTAATGGATCTTTATTAGCTACAGCTGCAGTCTTTATAACTATTGTAGCTATTTATTGTAACTATTTAAACGTGTAAATCAGTGGCACCTGTTTAACACTTAACAGCGACGTTAGCAGTTACAATGTAATTAGTTGTAATGCACGTACGGAACGTTCACTAAAAATATTCTGTACATACGTTCACTAAAACTCATCGCACGTTCTGAACGTTATGGATAAATTACTAGTGGTGTTCAGTAGGATTCACGTACTCTAATTCGACACGCACTATAGTTCGACAAATTAAATTCGCCAGATATCGCCCCTGTCGTACTTCGGTACTTGTCGAACTAGAGTCCAGGTAGCGTACTCTAGTTCTACAAATAGTTTCTGCTTGTGATCCAATGGCTATTGCCGGGTCCTCATAATAGGATCACAGGGTTCAATGGCAGATAAACAAATTTTCTGACATCTAGCAACCATGAGCGGTTAGAAATTCCAGAACCTTTCAGTATAGTTTTAATTCTCCTGTTTGCCACTCAGTTCTGGTCTAGCTAACAGGAAAATATATTGATATCCGACTATTTTCGATTCAGCAGCCAAATCTCTAGACCGGTACTCGGTTACTAGTCGTTTGTGATAATAAAAAGTATGGTACGTGGTTGATATTTATATAGCGCACTCTACAATCAAGATCTATAAAACGGAGTACGAGTAACTACGTTAGTCTTTTATCTCTCCGCTAAGTCTACAATTCTGCTAACTAACAATTAACTTATGAGTAGAGGACAATTAAATGTTCATAGATATGGAATATGCATTATAGAGATTACATTCACACATAATTGAACAGCATGAGACAAGTGGAAAGCAAACGAATAGATTACAAGCGATCGTAAAGGATCGTTGCTTGAGACCGGAGATTTCAAAACTCTAGTTCGACAGTCGAAGTTCTCTTGTCGAACTTTAGTACGTGTCGAACTTGAGTCCATGTAGCGCGCTTTGGTTCGACAGAGTCGAACCTTAGGGTTTGTCGAACTACAGTACGTGTCGAACTAGAGTGCGTGTCGAATTTGAGTACGTGTACCTTATAACTTATTGATAATAATATTACCCTTTTAATCTTAATCTTTTGTGCACAGAAATAGGATTGCTTCATTTTGGGAAAATTGATAATTATCAGTTGGGGAAATTAAGATTTCAAAAAGTTTATTTTCATAATTTTTTGTTTTTGATAATCACTGACGTTCACTAAAAACGTTCAATAACGTTCACTACAAAATGACTGGAACGTGCGGTCAATACGTCAAAATCCACCGTTCACTACAACTAAGAGTTACATGTTCATTGTTCTATTTATAATTTACTATTATTTATTATATTATGATACATGGTTGAAGGTTACAGCGAGATTATACCAAAAGCAAGTTACAGGGCGCGCATCTGTTTAACTGTCTTGAATACCTTTTTCGTGAAGTAATGAACAATGCTTAAACATTTAATTCCATAGAATTTGAATGCTCTATTTCTGATTCGGTGATTTATTAAAAGTTTATAAACTTATAAACTATGAATAAATAAGAGTTTAATTCAGCTGGTCAAAATTATAATTGATTAAGTAATTCCCCCTACTCATTGTTGTGCCCCAACTCATTGTTTTGCAGTGCTGTGGACTGTAGAGTGTACACTCATGAAAAATTAAACATCGTATTACAACAATGTATTAATTTAAAAGTTACTCAATACTCATATTTTCTTATTTTTACTTTTACACTAAGTGTCTCAACTTAAATTTTATTTACTTATGTGTGCGCAGCCCGGAAAGCTCATACGATCATACTGTGGGTCGTATACTCAAATCTTTATTTTCTATGACCAATCTGTAGTCTGAAGTTTAAGTTTTGCATTTACTTTTTGGTTAAAGGTGTACTTATTTCACACTGTTCGCGTTAAATTAGTGAGACTCTCAGACTCAGTCTTAAATCTTAATCGCAATTATATATCCGGTGACGCACCACGCTGTAGTACCCCAGCGCTACCTTAGCCTGCTGTGGCTGTTTTCGCCTTTTCTTACTTTCAAAATTACAACCATTCAGAAACTCTAGCCCTTTCTTCTCCTCCCTACAAAGTGTAACACGAGATGATTCAACTCACGTCAAAATTTCAACCCTCCCTTCTCTACTCCCCGCCCGAATGTTTTGTGTACGAAATCGCGGTTATAGTCGGCCGTTTACCATGCGGTACACTCATTATCAAGCTCTATTGTACCGGATCATACCCTTTAAAGTTCGTGTTGCCCTATGTACAGCTTACTGTAGTTGTTCCCCTTTTCTTACTTTGTTACTCCCCTACGTTCCTATTAAGGCGGCTTGTGTTAGATGTGGGATGCACAGGATCCTTCTAGTGTGGTTTGCTCCTTAGATTTCGAGTGTAAAGCTTCTGGTTAGCTTAAAGCTTTTGATTGGCTCCCCCGGCTCTTGTACAATGTTGTAGCTACAAATGCATAAACTCTTAGTTTCCTATATATGGCACATAAAAAGCTCTTAGGCGGCTCTCTCCCGGCTCTTGTACAATGTTGTAGCTCTTAGTCTTAAGCAATGTTATAGCTATAAATCGCGATCGTCCTTTCATTCTCGCAATTCATTCTGTGGGACTATTAATCATACATTCTCTCATGAGGGTGATGAGACAGTGCTCCACATTAAAATAAGAAATCCGGGACTAAGGACGATTTTTAACGAATTTAGTTAATTATGACTTTAGAGAATCGTCTACTTGACTTGATTGATGAATCATCTCGAAATATATGCACAACCCTCAGTTTGTTTGGTACTTTAATTAACTAAGTAGACAATTTCATCTGTTTGGTTTGAACTTGATATCCGACTGGCGCAGTTAAGGAGGTGGTCCGCAGATTGCGTGATGAGCGTTGAGAAGGTTCCTGCTTATAGGCTTCTCAATAGGTTTCGTACTAATGGGTAGGTTTTTAATGTGGATTATTCGACGTTTTGATGTTATATTATTAGTATTACTCAATACATTTTATCCAGCTTTTCAAAGTAATTGTTTTGTATTAGTATAGAAAGTATTAAAACACACGTTTTATGTATAACCTTAAGAGAAAAGTCAATTTATTGACATTTGCATTGTTTTTCACAGTCATCAGTACCAATTTGATCATTAAATCTTAATTCAAATATAACGCAAAAATTACTTGACGTATCATTCACTGCTTACAGTTGTTCCATAGAATCTTTTCAATGTTCTGCTAACACTATTTTTCTATAGTTTTTCGTGTATTAGTGACTCATTGTGTAAATGTCCGTCAATAATACGTGTCACATTTGCTTTTGTCTATTATATTTGTAGAAATATTCACTTCATTGTTCATGTCGGGACCAACACCATCATTCTTAATGAATGTAATTGTCAATCTCCCGTATCACCCAATAGTTTGAGTAACACCCTCTCTCCGACCCAAAATAATTTGTGAATAATCTGAAGTTGTCTGTTATCAAATCGTAAAGATGCCCCTTAAATTTTTATCCGTTCAGTCTTAATGCATATGTTAAATGTTGATATGTAATGTTGATTGTTATTCTTTAGATTTATCATTCTAACTCGCTGTTCTATTTTCAGTACATGGTTCATGGCAAAAGACCCAGGGGGATTCCTCAGTCTTGCTCCCTGTTTCTGGTTCTGCTGCATACGGAGAAGAGGCCGGCCAATTGATGACGACAGCAGAAGCAGGGCCAGTTCTACCAGGAGCCGATCATTCAGCTACTCCGAATCCAGCAGCAGTGATGACGATGATTACCACAACAATAAAATAGTTAAAGATCAGACCGGGTATAACGGAGCGAAGGAAAATGATAAAATCACCGGCGACGGAGCGAAGTACGGTGCAACCAAGGACGTTGAATTGGCAACTGAACAGGATGGTGTAAATGAACCGAACATTAATACAAATTCAGCAGGCTATTCTCCTGTTCCTGATGGCGACTCTTCTGACGAGGAAGGTGAAGCCCTCACCAGGCCTCTTCAGTCTTTATCAATTTTATCCGAACAGAATTATGACGAGGAAGAGAGAATGGAGCAATACCAAAACTCCGTAATATCATCTAGTTCGAGTTTAGGCGAGATCCATGTTCTCGGGGATCCTGAGACTTACAGTTTGACTAACGTCTCTGCCTCTAGAGAACAGCTGATGCAGAAGGTTGGTGATACCTCTTCATTGGACAGTTGGTCTTGTAATGACCGAAGACTTGATCCTATAGCGAATCAAGCTGACAGGATGTCTCTTCGTGAGGATACAGCTTCAGTAAACAGCTGGGTAAGTAGAACAAGTGCAACGCCCTCTGCTAAAAGCTTGCAAGCAGAATCATCTTCAGTCAAGAGCTGGTCAAAAGAAGAAACAGCCAGTCTTGATAGGCAGCCTATAAAGAGGATCAGCGCCACAGAAATGCTGAGCACGTCCGGTACAGCTTCCCTAGAAGATATAACGGAAGCGCCTTCAGCAGCAGAAGTAGAAGAAGAGGTACCAGCTGCTGAACAACCCGCTGACCCTTCTGCAGCAAGTCAGGAAGTCCGGAAAAGCCCGGACAAACGCCCCAAAACTTATCTTGAAGACCCGATGTACAGTGTTCCTCAGGTCGAGCATAAGAAAGCAGCCGAGCCTGTTCCTGTGCAACCTGTCCCATCAATCGAAGTTGACAGTGCACCTGATCTGCAGCAAAAAGAGTCTATCAAATCGAAAACTTCTGACGACAGTGGGGTTGTGGTTGATAAGTATATTTCAACTACTCCTCGATACAAAAGCCAATCAGCCGTGTTCTCTGACGACGCCGTCAGTCTTCAAAGCGCAACCAGCATGGTAAGTCTTGATGCTGCTGGACTACCAAAAAAGAAGAAGAAACTCAAATTATTTAAAAAGTTCAAATTTAAGAAGAAGAAGAAGAACAAGTTGCTAGTGCAGCAGCAGGCAGGTTACAGCGCTTCTACTCCTACACTCGGAGCAGACGCTGATGCTGCTTCTAGCACCATGTCAGTAAACTCAAAGAGTAGATACAGTGCTAGTTTACTTCTCGCATCGTTAGACGATCTGAGTGATGATGATATTTGTAAGGATTAATTAATTAATTATCTGCAATTTGCAAAATCTTTTAAAAAGCGTCTGTAAAATAATACAATTGTAAAAAGCAATTAAAAGCAATTAACAACATCTGTTTTGTGTCACGTTTATATAAATGTTTCGCTTTATCTCTGGTAGAGGAAAGCATCATTATTTGTGAATGGAGTACTCATACTTTTGCTTGCTCAGCATATAAGTTCAAATAACATTTAATAGCTATGCATGCAAGCCATGCAAGCCATGCATCTAAATATGTCCGGCGACAGATTTTAAGACGTTGAATTTGATTCCGGCACCCAGGGATTTAACCATCAAATTTTCCGCACTTTTCGCAAGAATCCTAAACCTTGATGGTCGGGTCCGCGATTTATTTGGTCCGGAGTTCTGAGGTTCAGAATTCGACGTTTCTTGGTCATGATTTAAATATGGCTAATCCTAGACATTAGACAAGGGTTGTTGATATATGTATTATACCTTTTACTCTGCGGTCTTCCAAGTTTTGCTAACGTTTTATTATTCGTCAAATATAGAAAGTTAATGTCGGTCGAGCGACATTGCATGGAATGTGGTTTTAAATATATACATCTGATTCCATAGATGTTGCTTACATCATGTAAGCAACAGTAAGCAAGATAAATAATAAAAAACAAAATGATATCTTTCTTCAGATGATATTTTTGACTGGAAATTTTGTTACTTCTATTCGTTTTGACAACAAATAATTTCTTTATAGATCCAGACACCATTCGGACAAATTATGATGAAAATTATTGATTGGTTTGAAATAGTTTGGTAGAAGAACTTATATGCAGGGTATGAAAGTTATTTTGTTTTTCTACATAAAAATTGAGTTGTTATTTTTAAATCCTCAATAATACTACTCATCGCCGACAAAACTCAAATTGAATGGATATGCCCAGTAATAAAAAATGGATGATTGAAAAAATAATAAAATTTAAGTAAATCTGGTACACACTAGTCACTATTTGAGGAGAGGACTTAAAGACTAAGCTGCTAATCATAAAACGAGAGTCTGCATCATCTGATCATCCATTATGTAATATGTAATGAAATATTTTTCGTGCGTCAGCCATTAAACTAAATTTCCTTCGGTTAAATTGCAAGAACACTTCATAACACCAAGGTGGACATTTTGATTTTACTCTAATTCAATTAACTAACAAGAAAATGGTTTCTGTTTGATGACAATAACAGAGTTATTGGCATTGTCTGTCAATCCACTAAGTCTAAACAACTTTGTACGGTGACTTATTTACTACTCATAGTTGTTTTACACGAGAGTTCGTTCTAGACATGCTCTATTCCAGAATTTGCATTATTCTAGAAATAAGCTGCGTTGTTTCGCACATACATCTTTATATTGTACTTTAATATTTTAGAAGCTTTGTTCAGAGTGAGCGTATTTTAATGAGAATAACAAAGTCGGACGAAGGACGGGGGACAGGTTATAGGGTGACACGATCCCAGTGGGGACTGGGGATTGTGTCCTGACTCCAGGATCAAGGAACTGCATCTAATATTAGCATTACGCTGAATATACTGGCTGCAAAACCGACTCCACACCAAATTCTAATACAGTGATACTTTTTTTACTTTTTGGGGCTTCAGATTAAACTCCTGTTAATGCTATTAACAGGAGTTAATGCTATTCTGTTAATTCGACATATATAAAAGGGACCACCATCGTTCTGGTCAGACTCCCTGACTCCCTCCTCCGGTAGACTTAGCCGAATAATTGGGAAGCTCTGCGGGGTACGTGGTTCAGGCTATAATATCCACGCTTGACGACAATATGAGTACTTGTTAAGAAAACTATCAACATAGAGTTCGATCATATTCATAACTTCTTTGTTGATTAACACTATTATTATATAATATTATATTCTTGGAGCGATCAATATACCTCATTAACTTATAGCTTTATAGCAACTAACCTTCGCTCTTTCGTAGAGTTACTCTCTACATATGATATAACGACGAGTTACTGGGTTCATATTTCGTCCTAGGGTAATGGGGATTGATTGTCAGTATACAATCAATGAGCTAATTGTACCTTTTAATACCTTATACCGGTGTGGTCCATTTTGATGTAGCAACTTGGCAAGTCTGCAAAGCACCATTGTCTTTTGCTTAACAGTAACTTAAAGTTATGTATTTCGGTGTGGACTGGACACTATGTACAGTGTGCGAATTTCGGCCGTTGTGCCACAACCGCTAAGCAGACATCCATCGGTGTTAGCCTTAATGGGAGTCTCAGCTAATTGTTTGAAATTTTCCCTTTTCTGTCGAATGTGTTTTTGCTTGCCTAGTGGGATTCTAACAGCAGGTGTTCGTGGAATCTGATTAACCTCCCAACATTTGTATAAATGTCTATTGTATTTAAATGTGCCTTTTTCTTTGTCCCCGAACCTACCTTTTGCTATTGTATTTCACTAATCACAGTTGCAAGCGGTAATAATTAAACATTAAATTCTAAAACTTAATCTTTGGGGGAGACTATCCCACTCACTGATGACGTTACCTGCGCCTGATCTTGCACCATGATAACAGTACATTGTTAATAAATTATCAAGCACTTACAATGTTTACCATTACTTTCACTCTCTTCCCTCTACCGAGGGATTCTTTACCTGTACAAGAACATCCCTTCAAATACATTAGCAAGTATCAAAGCCCCTCCCGTGATACACTGACCTCTACCACAATGAATGTGACTGCCATTATAACACATCTATTTTCTGCTTTCCTCTGCTGTTGTGAAATACCACATAGAATTATTTGGCTGTGAAATCATTTTCCATGAAAGCAGACGCACGTCTACTGTTCTGAAGCCTCATTGTACTTGAAGCAGCAATGTTGAGTGCCAGACGCCAAGATTAACTCTCAGAGTGTTCTTCTCAAAATAAGCTGCTTATAGGACTAATGTAGAGGAAACATGAGATGGTGGGGGTCCTTGCTGAAAACAAAGTCGTTACTCGTTCAGTACTCCTCGAGTGGAATGCCTATTGCCTACTTGTGTAAATAGTTTACTTGTGTTCTGTCCACGTATCATCTGTTTTTAACCACTTGCTCATTAAGTCACTTCGTTTTTATGTCAGCTCCAGTATGATCCTTGCAGAGCTCTTTGATTTATCTTGATTTTTGTTTGAGTAGTCGAAACTTGAAATCGCTAGTTTGATCACGTTCTAATCCAGTTTTAACCCTTTTTAACATAATTTATTCAATTGTTACAGCGACTGGCAAGTGTCATGATGGTAAACCTCGGCTTCTTCCTTTGCTGTCCCAGAAAGCGCCGTAGAAGTGGCGGCTCCAACTGCTCCGGAGAAGATCAGTTTGATGAGAACGGAGCGATAGTCGATGATCAGGCAGGATACGGAGCCACTGAACCCCAGCCGGTTGAATTGTACGCGGTGGATGAGATCGATGGGATCTCTCTCTCCTCGGATCCCAGTCTAAGAAAGGTTTACATAGCAATAGATAGCTCAGTACGTTACAGCCAACACGGCTTGCCTAAAATACCTTTGTTTTTGTCACCTGTTCCATTGGATCGGATGTCCGTCAATAGTTTGGCTAGTCACGAAGGATTCTATGAAAACGCTTATAGCACTCTTCCTCAGGAAGACATCACTGAGAACACTGGTGATGACAAGACTGAACAGTCTATAGTCCCTGATCCAGATGGTTCAGACCCAAACATTACTGCCGAGGTTTCAGATCTTGATAATATTTTAGAAACAGAGCAACCTGCAATTACTATAACTGAAGTGTCACCACAGACACGGCAATCTGTTCGATCAAAGAAATCGGACGACAGTGGAGTAGCAAGTCTAGAAGGCACGGGCACTTTACTCAAGAAAAAGAAGAAAAAGAAGCAAAAAATACTCAAGACTTTTCACATGAGCTTTAGGAAGAAGAAGAAAGATAAATCAAGCCCCGCTCCCGGCAAGTTGGAACCAAAGCGAAGATACAGCCTTTTCGCTATGTCGACTCACTCCTTAGCTCGAAGTCGATCTAACTCCATAGCTACTAGCTTGTCTTCAAACTCCCAGCGTAAATACAGTTCCGCTCTGATGCTCGCTTCTTTGGACGATCTTAGTGACGACAATATATGTAAGGACTGAGTTCTTCATAGGATATAATGTAGTGACAATGCGGTATTTTAGCCGATACATAAGCCAAAAGAAGGTTTCACACATGCTGGCGAGACAAACGGATATTATTGCATATCCTAAGGACTGATCCAATGATCTAGGAGAACATCATGCACATCTTCCTGTTCTAACTTTACAGTTGAAAAGTCATAATAATTTGGCTACTCGAGAAGAAGTGCCATCGAATTTTGCTTTTCTCAGATCTAACCGTGATAAAGTGCCCAAGACTAATGTGCATATGATAAAGATGATATGTAATTAGATACAATCAATCTCCTATCTCCATTTACGCGCCATTTAAAATGGTTTAAGTACAATTGCTTTAATGGAGACGACAGAAACTGTGACCCATACTGCACTTTGAACCTTTTCGTATGACATTCAGTGAACACAATTATTGTAGTGAACACAACTGCTGTGGACACCTCTGAACACCCGGCATTAAGGAAAAGCTATGAAGAAATCTGATGTTTCAGAAAGATTTATTCCCAAGAATGATGAATTTATGTATCGCTGCGTGTAGATATTTTCTTAACTTTGCATGATAATATGTACATTATATTGTCTTTTACTTTTCTTAAGCTGCACATAATATACATTACATTATATTTCATAATCGTGTTTTTTCATTTCATTATAAATCTTTTCCGATGTCCTTGGCCTTAATTTAAATCCTTTAAGAATTATAGAAATGAATGACCCACACAACTCTCAACACTGATTACGCAACGTAGGGAGTGCCTACATTTGTGCAGATTTCGTAACCATGGTAACATGAGGGTGTTGCACTGGTGTCGTAATAGGAGGCGGTTCCTACATTTTTGGGGTAGGCTGTACTGATGACTTAATCTGACGTCATCTGAGTTTCAGCAACTTGAGAACTTTCACAAGATTCTATGAGGAGTAACTGACGCATGTTCTTGGCTTGGCGAACACTGTAACATTGAAAAGTGTAGCAAATAGCAATCTCTACTCATTTGTGCTTCTAGTTCTCAAACTAGATGCAACTGGCACAAATCCACTTAAATTATAATTCTGGTCTTGTACTTGGAAGTGCGACCGACACAACGCTAAATTTTATTAAGCAAAATATAGAGATAATCGTGCCTAAAAGATAACAGACTTCGATTTCTCATAAATAACTACATAATTGATCATAGATTTATATTCAATGCACTTATGTGATTATCAATTGATTAATTACTTCTGGGTGTTTATTTTATTGTTATTTAACCTCTTCTTTAGATTAAACCCTGTGATTGCCGATTGTGTTATTTGAATTCGTAGAAAATGACAAACTGAGTAGTGAGTATTATTGTCTAAAAAAATGAGACACTTTTTTTTCCACGAATAACGTTTTTAATCCTTGCAAAATCATCACAATAAAAAATAAACGCTATCAAAATAAATTACAACTGGAGTTTAAAGGCGATGCCTCTCTTCAAGTGTATATTCTGAATGAACCATGCTCGAACTGCAGTTATCATTATAGATTTGAGGTTGTCCACAATCTGCTGTACATTCTAATGGGTCACATTCATTATTGCACCATAATAAACAGTCGAGTCCATGGGGGGTTGTGGGGGCATTGTATGGGGTCTAATTCGTGAATGTCAATTTCAGCAGTTTTTTGAGGTTATGAAAACTAGCTGTTATCCGTTATGGATTTGAGGTTATGAAAACTAGCTGTTATCCGTTATAGATTTGAGGTTGTTCACAATCTGATATGCATCATAAGAGGTCACATTCTGATTCATTATGATAAACAGTCAAGTTGATGAGTTGGGCGTGGGGGCAATGCATTGGCGTGGGGCATTGCATGGGATAACTTCGGTGAATGTCAATTTCGGCTGATCTCTTGGGACCTGATGAAGACTAGCTGTTGAAGATAACAACAGTAGCTCACACTGCTTCATTATATAACGAAGCTAAAACGTCCTTGTATTTCTGACTTATGTTATGCCTCCTTTTCTTGAAAGTGGGAGTAAGCATATCATTATCCACTGAGAAGGCTTGTGTTTCTGGACATAGCTTTATCTTTTTAACCTGTGAAAATGAAAATTAAGAAGCTGAAATCTAAAACTGCAAAGAATCTTATTTCATATTATCAAGTTAATTAAATTAAGTGCTACTCTTCATTACAATTGACAATCTTCTAGATTTGTAGATATGATGGGGATGTATCACGTTGAACAATCCCAACTCACCTGCTCAAATCCGACGAGGTCTTCCTTGCCTAAAGTTCGCAGTGAGTCTAAGAGAAACTTCTCAAATTCCTGTGACCGGTGAAGGTCAGCCACTTCAATGTGATTAAACTTTTCAGGACATTCCGTCTTCAGTGATATTTCATCTAGTATAACAATACCGATTAGATGAGATTTCAAGCTTTCCCCGTACACATAAACCTGAAACATTTAATTTGTTACTTTCTAGTTTGAATGATACCAAGACTATTTCCTTAGTGTCAACTTGGTTAGGTGCCAACTTGGCTAATGGTTAGGTGCCAAAAATTAATTTATAGGAGTTAACCTGGGAAACATACGGACATCTCTCATATATCATTTCTATTTTCTCTGGAGCAACGTATTCCCCTTGTGATAGTTTAAATATGTTCTTCTTTCTGAAAAAATCCCCGAATGAATACTCATTAATATTGAAGGAGCTTCGATATTATTGAAGGAGCTTTCAAGACTTAAAAACTTCAAAAACGTTCAAATTATACCGATCTATAAGTTGAAGCCTGCCTTCTGGAGTCCAAGTTCCAATGTCTCCGCTATGCAGCCAACCATCGATCAAAACCTGCTTTGTCTTGGCTTCTTGTTTAAAATAACCCTGTATACAAATTTCTGTTCTCAAAGATGCACAAATATAATTGCATGAATTCATAAAAGTTGATTTTTAATGGTAAAGACCGAACATTTGCTACTTTAAGCATGTTTGTCCATTTAAGTTTGTATTGTCAAAAAACGTTATTTTATTCTCCATAGATCACCTTAAAAACGCCATCTTAGGACGCGAGGAGAGTTACGACTCCTCGGACTCACCTTGAAAACGCCAGGGCCTCTAACGCACACCTCGCCCCTGTTGTCCCGCACAAAGTAGCCCATGTCAGGGACATCTACTAGCTTTATCTCCCAGTCAGGAAGTGGAACACCAACATGTCCTGGGAGATGGGAATATGTGAGTATGTGAATATGCGAATATATGAATATGCGAATATGTGAATATGTGAATATGTTCGTGACTCTTGACACTTCAGACGCATCCCCAGTCACAAATGGTCGAACCTGGTACAGTATCTCCGAACAAGTACATGGAAGTAGCAGCCGTAGACTCAGTTTGTCCGTAGCCCTCAATGATGTTAGCTCCCACAACTGCTCTGAACCACTGTATCACGTGGGGCTGGATTGAGGCTGATCCGCTCATTATTACCTGTAGAGGTGAAGAGGTCAGTTAGTGGCAGTGTCATGCACTGATATAGCTGCTCTTTTTATCACAATTCTATAAAGTTCACAGAAGAAAAACTTTGGATCTTATAAAATTTAAAAATCAGATTACCTTCTGATTATTGGATCTTATCATAAAAGCTAATACTAGATCGTCAAAGAGATGGCATTTAAACCATTCAACTCACCTTGACTCTACCACCTAGCTTGTCTTGAATCTTCCCAAAGAACAGTTTGTCCCAGATAGTGTCTTTTCCTACTATTCCCTTCTCCACTTCAGCTATTTTACTGCTCACAGCGTAGTTGAATATTCTCTGTAATGTTTGTCAGTTAATTGTATGACTTCTGAACCACCATAAATGCAGAAACGTTTGCTCCAGAATAATTTACAAGACTTACAAATATATACTAGTTCTACTGAAGTAAAAAGTAAAATTGAAATTGAATTTATGACTGTTTTATTGAATCTACCTTAAGAAGAGCAGGTTTAGATTCCAACTGACTGTTCACCCTGTCGTACACTTTGTTTAGCACTCTTGGAACCGCAGGAAATATCGTAGGTTTCAGTTCCATGATATCGTTAAGTAGTTGCGTAACATCACCTAGAAGCAGAGTATAGCTCAGTAAGTCAATCAGTATGACTGTTGTATTTTTAAGCTGCAGATAATATTTTGTACTGTTTAGCTCTATAGTCTATCGCTGCCTTCTCAAAACTCACATTCAGTATCATTTTTATTACGAGCTACTCCTTGCGCACAATCTACCATTATAATATTATGTACTATTATGACCATCAAAAATTATTACATAGTTGGTTTCTACAAGTCTGAAATCTAGATTACATTTTTGAAACTTTCCTTACTATACAGATATATTAAAATACTGACCTCGAAAATAGCCGATACTCCCTCCAACGTATAATACTATACACTCTGATATAAACCCGTACACATGTGCTAGTGGTAGGTAGGACACTATTATCTGTAAAGGTTACTTTCAGTATTTCTGTAACGGATGAGAATGCAATTTACAAGGAATTGATAATAATTATACTAAATTATCATCTTCGCCATGGTAAGCCTTTACAGTGATGTTTTGAAGGAATGACGCAATCAAAAACGCATCGTATAAAAGGGGTATGTGTTGTACTTATGTATAGGCGTGTTATATTCATTGTCTATAGCATAGACTATTTTATTTATATTTATTACAATATTTCTTGAATGTTCTCTTAACTCATGGAGGTAGTCGAATCTCTGTGTTTAAGTTTTATGCTTACAAGTGGCATTACCCTATTGACTTTCGCCAAAATGGATCTTACAATTCAATGTATCTCAAAGCTTTAGCATTGAAAGCAATGAGAATATTTCAAGAACTCACATCGTCTTTAGTAAGGATATGTTGATAATTCCACAACCCTCTCCAGCCCGCCTTGAAGGCTGCTAAAACGTTCCTATGTGTGATCATAGCCCCCTTCGGTTCACCAGTTGTACCTAGTGGATAATAGGATCTAGTGGATAATAAGATCTATAGTGAATTATAAGATAAGCTGATTACAAGTTCACCCTCGTCCTACACTAGCAATTGTTTTGACTGATTTCTTGTGCTGTAGAATGTTCAGCACCATAGCAAAAGCAATGATGCGTGAGCATTCCTGCTATCTGTACACTTTCCTGAATTTAAAGCGATCTTTAATAGTAAACTCACCGCTAGTGTAGCAGATGACTGCTACATCCTCCTCAGTAGGCGAAGATAGTTGTAGGGGAGGAACACCTAGCTCACAGACCTCCTCCCACAGGTAGCACTGTAACAATTAGATGGCTCACAAAGGTACAGATATAGGGTTTATCAAGTTTATGAGATTATATACAGCAATTGATTATCAAATCGTCATCCGAATTGGTGGCACTGAATGCAATGTGAGGACCATTTTACCGTATCATATCCACAATTATTAAATTTCTGATTGTCTTTATCTCCACTAAATTCAAAAAATGTGTACCTGAATACCTAGCTGTTTAAGTTTGTGGTGAATGTCGGAAGAGACTGCACCAATCGAAATTATTGTTTCCAGTTGACTTCGTTCCTTGTTTACAAATGTCAACAATCTTTCAATACTGCCTGAAAAAACACCTTCATCAAATTCATTGACACAAAAGTTTATTAATAATTGAATTTAGTGTTTACTCCGAACAATACATTATAATACAAATCCATACATACGATTTAATAAATTAGATCCCGATATCCCATTGTTTTCCAGACTTACAATTTTCGCTTATCACAGTTTTTACTTGCGTTTCTGATAGAATATACCTCATGGCTTTTGTACCTGAAAAAAGAACTTGATAAGTAAAAATTGAAGATGGTCGGTACAAGTAAGACATTCAGCTTGATATTTTGAAAAATAAACTGAAATCAAGAGGAGAAAAAAATAAACAGATACTGGTTCTATATTGTCATGTTTAGCACTCCTAGAAACCTATGTGGCATTGAATTGAATGACGAAACAAAAAGTTCAAGTCTCGTTCAATTGCAAAATGAATGAACAATAAAAATAATAATAAGATATTATAAATACCTAAGGTCTGATACAGTGGAACGGCGATACTTCTGTTACCAACAATGCCCTGCATGGACATATGCCACTCGGGGGAGTTCTTAGCAAAGATGCCAATAAGTTCCTCCTGTCCACCTGCAAAGTTAAATAGTTTATCTGGTTAATTCATGGTAATAAAATCACTATTTGAAATAGTTTAACTTACAAAAAGTAGCTTTGTTACGTTATTTAATTATTTATTTACGTTATCTAATTGGAATGTACGTGGTTAATATTTTATCTAAAATTCTTCTTGACAGAAAAGCTGTGTCCTGACTCACCAGTTAAACCAATCCGCATGAGGCCCTTCCTAAAGTTGTGTATTAATGTGTCTGCTGCACGGTAGTTTATCCATTGATAGGGACCGTTACCTACTCTGTACCCAAACACTTGACCACTGAAATATTAACATCTTCCATTATAACATGTATATAACATGTATAACATGTATAAACTGCATGGACGGTTATCAGATTAAATCTGACGGGCATATTTATCTCAACGACTATCATTTCCAAGAATCACCTATAGTCTCCTGTTTCGAGATCGAATGGCCGATGCTTGACTTACTTAGGATTAACCTTGAGTCCCCTCTCAAAGAGATGTCCAATAGTATTTATATCCTTATCCCACTCAACCACAGGGTGTCCTTTACCAAATATGCTGCACCTGTGCGTCTCCTCTTTTAACACCTGGAGATATGATTATATTTATGTTATAAAGCTTCAATACTTTAACTTAAAGTATCGCATTTTAAAGTTTAAGATAAAGAAATACTGAGTACCGCTGTTTAGGGGATTAAATTTACTCTGGTTACGACCCATATGCATTACTATCCTTCACCGGCAATAACTGCCGGTGCTGTAGGAACTGCTTTACGACCGGCTAGACACGTGCTTTTCGTGCGTCACAATTTCATTTTGTCCTAACCTTTATCTGTATCAGGCCTTTAATCATAATAATTTGATTAGCCTAACCAAATTACCTCCTCTTGGATTACTACATGTTAATTTAAGGTCACGCACGATGTCTGATAATCACGCGCACTGGCGATACAGAGTCGGATTACTCTGAGTGGCCTCACCGGGGCATTTCACACCATAAGTTCATAATGTTCATACAGGGTGTTTCAAGACACGAGTCTTGAAACACCCTGTATTATGCCCCACGTTTTACAAGCATCGGCTACGAGCCAAACTTTGTTCTAACTTATCAAGCAACCCCTTGTTGACCTCAAAGCAGGGGTGAAATGAGGGGTACAGGAACTAAAGTTTCCTAGATCTGTCAAGACTTTTAGAAAATTATCCTCCTTGAAAGCCTAATTGAGTATTATAACACGATTAAGGGGAGATACACCAAAAACGTTTTTGCTCCGAACATCGATTTTATTTTATATTATGGTTAAATAGACAAAAAGAATAAGATTGCACACCTTCAAAATTTTCTAAAAATATTCCCTCATCGAGAAAAAAATATTTTTCTTTTTCGAAAATTTTTAAAATTAGGAGAAGTTTGTCACTGTAATACCGATAGTTCGACCATTTTAAAAGGTGTTCGGCTGATGTTTTTACTGAACATTACTTACAATCCGTACAAGAAGCCATTGAAAGGATTATATAATTGGACGATAAATGACGAAGTTACAGACCAAACAAGGTCGAAAAAATAAAAATTGAAATTTTTCCCACTTCTAAAGTTGTACATTTTACCAATCACCCGGGTCAGCAGATATCGCTTCAAAAATTCTTGTGAGTGTAGCTGATGATCATATCAAACTTTTTGGAGTAGGATTTCTCTCAGATTTGAGTTTTAAGCTATGCAATATGGCCTCAAACGACTTAGTAAAATTTATCGTAAAAAAGGGCAAAAAAGGCAGATTTAAGGCTTAAAATGCCTATAACTCAAAAAGTATCAGTTTTTTTGAAATAATTTTTACAGGATCGTAATCAGCTTGGTAAGACGAATCTTTTAGTACGACATTTATAATATTTAAAGACACAAAATTTGTAAAAAAATGTGTACAATTTATACAAAATTTATACAAGGGGGGACCCTTGTGTTCGAGCTAGAAAATTATTTAAGACAATTTGTCTTCTAAAAGCACCTATTTGGTACTAAAAGATTCGTCTTACTAAGCTGATTACGATTCTGTAAAAATTATTTCAAAAAAACTGATACTTTTTGAGTTATAGGCATTTTAAGCCTTAAATCTGCCTTTTTTGCCCTTTTTTACGATGAATTTTACTAAGTCGTTTGAGGCCACATTGCATAGCTTAAAAATCAAATCTGAGAGAAATCCTACTCCAAAAAGTTTGATATGATCATCAGCTACACTCACAAGAATTTTTGAAGCGATATCTGCTGACCTGGGTGATTGTTGAAATGTACAACTTTAGAAGTGGGAAAAATTTCAATTTTTATTTTTTCGACCTTGTTTGGTCTGTAACTTCGTCATTTATCGTCCAATTATATAATCCTTTCAATGGCTTCTTGTACGGATTGTAAGTAATGTTCAGTAAAAACATCAGCCAAAAAACTTTTAAAATGGCCGAACTATCGGTATTACAGTGACAGACTTCTCCAAATTTAAAAAATTTTCGAAAAAGAAAAATATATTTTTTCTCGATGAGGGAATATTTTTAGAAAATTTTGAAGGTGTGCAATCTTATTCTTTTTGTCTATTTAACCATAATATAAAATAAAATCGATGTTCGGAGCAAAAACGTTTTTGGTGTATCTCCCCTTAATCAATCCAATCAGGCAGTTGATGGGATTCTGTCCACCAGTTATTATGGATTGTTCTAAGTTTTAGAATATGATATCTGTACTTACTGGTTGTGAAAGGGGAGTTGGTACAATAATCCTAGTTCTCTTATCAGATCTAGATCTCCACCAAAGGAAGAGACCAGTTAAAGCGGCCCCGACCAACAGCGTGTCCAAGTTTCTGTACTGGCTCACCAGATCCTGCACTTCTGGGAACGATCTCATTCTCCTACTGTTCGTTAAAAGTCAGATATTAGGGCAATAGATCGAAGAAAAGTTAACAAGTTTGTTGCCGTACGTGACGGACTCGACAATTCTATTCTTATCTTAAACGATTCATGCCAAGAAACAAAAGAAACTGCCAAGTAACGATCAGCTTTGCAAAGTGAAGCTGTCTGGAAAATTAAGCCAGCTCAGCAAGAAAGATAAACAATATTTCACGCAGCTTCACAGCTTTAAGATAGAGTATGCATGCTACCACAATCCTGCGGAGTTACAGCTTTACAGTTACACTGAGTGCAAAGTGACACTATTCCACATGTTAGCTGTCTGAGCCCTGGTAATATCCAATATGAGCAGTGCTCTATAATACTGAGGTAAAGTGCGGTACTCTATACGGGGGTAGAGTACGGTACTTTATAGTGGGGTAAAGTACGGTACTTTACACTGTGGTAAAGTGCGGTACTTTATAGTGGGGTAAAGTACGGTACTTTATAGTGAGGTAAAGTACGGTACTTTATAGTGGGGTAAAGTACGGTACTTTATATTGGGGTAAGGTACGGTACTTTATACTGGGGTAAAGTACGGTACTTTATACTGGAGTAAAGTACGGTACTTTATAGTGGGGTAAAGTACGGTACTTTATAGTGGGGTAAAGTATAGTACTTTATAGTGGGGTAAAGTACGGTACTTTATAGTGGGGTAAAGTACGGTACTTTATAGTGGGGTAAAGTACAGTACTTCATAGTGGGGTAAAGTACGGTACTTTATACTGGAGTAAAGTACGGTACTTTATAGTGGGGTGAAGTACGGTACTTTATATTGGGGTAAAGTACGGTACTTTATACTGGGGTAAAGTACGGTACTTTATACTGGAGTAAAGTACGGTACTTTATAGTGGGGTAAAGTACGGTACTTTATACTGGAGTAAAGTACGGTACTTTATACTGGGGTAAAGTACGGTACTCTATACGGGGGTAGAGTACGGTACTTTATAGTGGGGTAAAGTACGGTACTTTATACTGGGGTAAAGTACGGTACTTTATAGTGGGGTAAAGTACGGTACTTTATAGTGGGGTAAAGTGCAGTACTTTATACTGGGGTAAAGTACGGTACTCTATACGGGGGTAGAGTACGGTACTTTATAGTGGGGTAAAGTACGGTACTTTATACTGGGGTAAAGTACGGTACTTTATAGTGGGGTAAAGTGCAGTACTTTATACTGGGGTAAAGTACGGTACTTTATACTGGAGTAAAATACGGTACTTTATACTGGAGTAAAGTACGGTACTTTATACTGGGGTAAAGTACGGTACTCTATACGGGGGTAGAGTACGGTACTTTATAGTGGGGTAAAGTACGGTACTTTATAGTGGGGTAAAGTACGGTACTTTATACTGGGGTAAAGTACGGTACTTTATACTGGGGTAAAGTACGGTACTTTATACTGGGGTAAAGTACGGTACTTTATACTGGGGTAAAGTACGGTACTTTATAGTGGGGTAAAGTACGGTACTTTATATTGGGGTAAGGTACGGTACTTTATACTGGGGTAAAGTACGGTACTTTATACTGGAGTAAAGTACGGTACTTTATAGTGGGGTAAAGTACGGTACTTTATACTGGGGTAAAGTATAGTACTTTATAGTGGGGTAAAGTACGGTACTTTATACTGATTACTGTGGTAAAGTACGGTAGTGGAACTTTATATTAGAGTAAAGGACTTAAGGACGGTTCTTTATCGTGGAAAGGGTTGCATGATGAACGACTAACTTATTCTTTACTAATTAAAACCAGTAATCAACATAATGCTACTAGTATTTCGTAGAATTGTATTCAGACTTTTAAGGTCCCAGAATCAACCTCCTTGATTCCTGGAATCAAGCTTGTTGCAGCTGTCACTGCAGTTTTAATCGAACCATATTAGGAGTTAAGACAAGTGTAATGAAATTTAAACAACAGTATCAACTATTACAGCGGTTATTAAATGGCGGGTTCGTTGACAAATACTTTTCAAGATGGCCTTATATTTGGTTATTCTGTCAGAAAATCTGCAACCACGGACTTTCTCGCCCTTTCTGGATCTGCGTTTTTCAAAATACGTTTCTAACAGTATACGAATCCAAAAAGAATATGTACAATACATAAAATAGAAGCAATGATACTGGCACTTGAAAACATTTCCATAGCAGACTCGAGCAAGTTCTGATACAATTGAAAACTAGGATCAGTCATCAACAATAACAATAAGGAAGTCGAATTGTTAAAGTAGTGAAATTTTAAACCAAAAGTAAAAGAGGTTAAACTTAAATAGCAACTCTGAGCTGAAAAGCACATCAAAAATTCTGTTATACTTTTCTAGATCCACGGCTTTTAACCAAGGCAGTTTCAGTAGAACTACAAAATGCTAGTGTGTGGAATTGGGCACACTACTCAGGGTCACATGGGGAGGTAATACACAGCGACACTACACTCTTATTATAGGTACAATTAGTGAATTATAAACTCCCAACCCTCTCTTACACACTTTACACTTTTAAAACACGGATGTACTCTCAAACGAGGCCGTTACATAAAATGAACATTACAGGCCCTCATGTACTGTTCTAAAACCTTAACGTAAAGTAAACCATACTATACGAACAAGTAGCATGTTAGTATACTATTTAAGAGTATGGGAGACAACCTCACAACCAGCCACCAGGTCATCACAAAATGAAACCTTCTACAAGCAAACTACAACCGTTAGTAATGTTTAGTGTTTGACTGATAACTATATAACTGATAACGCCACTGCAGATACTGTAGAGTGTAGGTATTGTAGCTGCTGTAGATCTGCAATGTGAAATGTCGTTAGTTCGTGACTCCCTGGTCTACATCATTATCCTCTTATTGTTTATCACTTTTAGGCTTGTACAAGATAAACTTGTTTTATTGTGCAATGTTTAAGTACGTTACAAAAAGCTATAAGCTGGATCCAAAATTTTCATATTTAAGGTGGGGCTGCTAGTAAAGCTGTACAATCCTCTGAAACGATCACTTCGGGAAAACATAAACGATCTGAGTATATGGATAATTCAAGGTTATAAATTTATAAACATTACAGCTGATATTCACAAACTTTAGCTGTAGTACACAAGCTATAACAGTGAATGAACCAAATCTCATTTACTTATCACACGCATTTGAATATATTATTGAAAACTATGATCTACAAAATGTTATCTTACTTAAATTCGGATGATAACTGCTAGAATTTATGTATCATCTACTAAGCTTAAGAATCGCTCAATTCAATGGATACTTAAACTATGGTTTTGAGAAAAAAACTGACAAGCCTGCATTCAAACCTGGTATAGCTTTTTTTAAAAGTGATACTGTTGTCTTTCAAACTGTCAATTTATTCAATTAGGCATGAAAATAGTCAAGAAATTATGCTCGAAAGAAAAATCAGACACAAAAAATAAATCTGAAAGAATTCGGATAAAACTAATATTAATCCTCACGTTCAGTTACCTTTCTATGCACTGTTTAAGTTTTATACCTTTATAGTCTAGAGGCCGCTATACACCACGTCAATGGCATCGAATTTCATATCCATCTCGATTAGAAAGTTGAAACAAAATGCGGGAAAGGGACGATTGTGGAACTGCCACTACCTGACCACGTCCAACAAAGGAGTTAAGAACTGTATCTCATACAAATAATCAGACTTAGGCTCTTTGCTTTCATGAAAAAGCCGACGAGGAGCAACGGCTCACTTTTGACAGAAACTAAATAATGTCGGAGAATTGTACCTAACGCCTGTCGCCTAACTACTAGTCTAGATCTATGTAATAAGCGCCATGAGTTGGCACCGAATTTTTTGTCTCCGATTTTGATAAATTTGGCACCAAAAGTTGCCTCTAAGTGTGAATAATGCAAATTCACCGTGCAGCACGAAAAGGTCGAGCTGTTTGTGGGCCTCCTGTGCATTGCAAGAGTGTAAAAAGGACGAAAAATGGGTAAATCCTTGCTTAAAATGCCTATAACTCCTAAAATATCGAATATTTTGAAATAATTTTTACAGGATCGTAAAAAGTTCGGTCAGACGCAACTTTTGGTACCAAGAGAATATAATATTTGAAGGACCAAATTTTTCAGGTTTAAAAAAATTTAAAAATAATGTTCCTTTAAATCTTAAGATATTAGTACCAAAAGTTTTGCATCGCTAAGCTGATTACGACTCTATAACAATTATTTCAAAATTACTGAAACTGTGGAAGTTATAGGCCAAAAACTAAAAATTTGCGCGAAAAAAACAAGCACCGTGCAGCATTTTTAGTGAAAATTGCTACACAGTGGAACTATTTTATTCACATTTTTAGACAACTTTTGTTACCAAATCTGTGCCAACTCATGGCGCTTATTACATAGACTAAACAGTACGACGATGAGCAATGGCTTACTTTTGACAAAAAGCAGCACTAAATAATTTAGGAAAACAGTACCTCACGCAACGGCTCACTTTTGACAGAAACTAGCACTAAATGATGTGGTAGGAGTGAGAACTGTGCCTTATCACGCCTATTCACTAACGGTACAGCAGGGTGATAGCCAGGTATGGTGATACCCTGTATCGTAACCTGATCCTGCTTCTCCAGCATCACAATTACAAGTTATGAGGTTACAACTAGAGAGGTTCCCAGACTCTAACTAAATTAGGAGGAATGTCTAATGTATCCGTATTGAAATATTTGTGTGATTAATCGAGAGATATTGTTGTATTTGGGGCTTGAAGTTTATAATAAAGTAATAATTTAATTAATAATTAAACTTAAAACACGAAGAAAATTACTTGTTGGATTAATCCTATCAGTATAAAAACTTTTAAATTATAAACTGATGTTTGTAGATTTTAAAACTATTGATGTTATAGTTGATACCATTTTATTGGCTAGGTGATGCAATAAGATGCGATACGATAAAATTTAAATGCAATAAAATGCGACTTTGACGTGTGTCAGGTGATCCCATTTTCTCGGAAACTGGAAGCTAAAGTTAGAATTCTAAGAATTAAAGTTATACGAATGCACTTTAACTGGTTTAAGGACACGT